CGGGGATCCGAGGAGAAGCTGGAGCCTGTGACGCTCCTCTTCTCCCTGCCGAGCCGCGGCTGTGTTCGCCTCCTGGCTCCCTTGTTGCCAATGGCGCCCTGTGCTCGCCATGGCAACTGGGGGAAGGGGGCACAGCCAAGCCGGCCCTGGCTGCGCCCCCTCTCAGCTGCGCCTGAGGCGAGTGCCTCACTCGCCCCATGGTAGCTACAGCCCTGTAGATAAACTGTATTTACATTTTATATACAGAACAGGAAGGAGAGCAAACATTTGATTGGCTGAAGTGGAATCTTCAAATGTGCGTGTTCATTTTTAAATTAAAGCTGAACTCCGGCCTTCCCATCAGTCTTGCAGAATTGCACCGGTGGTCTGTCGAGGTGGCCAACTAGATGAGATCTCCAACTCGTGACGTCACATCCTTTGCTGATGACGACGAGATGGCGCTAGTGCGCGTGCGCCAGCCGTCACAGTTTTTGCAATCCATGTTGACTTCTCCACTTGCCGTAGGTGCGCCTGTGCAGCTTCGAAATTGTCATGGAGTTCTTCAACTCCCGTCGGTGCTCGTGGCATCGGGTGCCCGCACAGGCGCACTGCCGCAGATTGTACAGCTTGATACTGCTCTTAGGTGGCTGCGCAGGCGCAATGACGGGAGTTGGAGGTCTCGACGAGTTGGAGAATTCAATAGAACACCGGCTCCTCAGGCCAGGCACTTGGAGGGGCAACACATTTCCCTTTGCAACTTTTTTGTGAGTCGGTGAACATCTTGTTACTGAGTATCATTGTGTCTTGTTTTTTTTTTTTGTCAATTTAAAACCACTTCAGTCTTGCAGAGTTGTACCGGCTCCTCTTCTGGGCTGTAATTTCTTTGCGTTTCCCACTCAGTTTTCTGTGTGGGTGAAAGATTTTAGCATTGCCACACGGTCCTCTGCGCAGGAAATGCAAACGCTATATGTGATTACTATAGCCGCGAACGTGCGGAATCCGTTACAAAATCACGCTTGGACTATTTTTCGTACCGCGCGGCCGTAGCAAAGGTGCGTTGTTTTTTTGTGTTTAGAGCAGCTCTGCACGTATTTGGCTGGCCAAAAATGCACGGAGAACCCGTCCTGTGTGAATGGAGCCTGCAAATTTTAGCATACGCATGGATTCCGCAGGTTTACAGCTATTACTATAGCCGCAACATGCGGAATCCGCCTGGAACACCTTGCTCAGACTTTTTGGCGCAGCGCGCATCTTCGTACCGCTTGGACACCGGTCTAGTGTGAACAGTATACATTTTAATGCATTATTATTTTTTGTTCAGCGTGTTTTGGCGCATACGAATACATGCGGAAAACCGCTAATGCGTGAACAGAGCCTTAGGCCTCATTTAAACGAGAAACGGACGTATCGGGCAGCTCCCGGGAAGGACAGGTGCTGCGTGTGATTAGTACACAGCCCCCGTCCTTCTCTATGGGACTACGTGGCCCTATACTCACCCCAAGTGCAGGTCTGTACTGGTGCGGGTGTCCCGGCTCGGACGCAGATAGGATTCATCCTGTCAGCATACGAGTACGGACACCCACACCTGCACGGACATGCAGGGCGGGTGAGCGTAGGGCGGCGTACGGCCGCGTACTCCCATAGAGAAGGACGGGGCTGCGTACTAATCACACTCAGCATCTGTCCTTCCCGGGAGCGGCCCGATACGGCCGTGCACGCAGCACGGAGCTGTACGTGCCGGCCGTTTCTCGTGTGAATGAGGCCTTACTCTGATGTCACTGCACACTGCGAGCTCCTCACAATGTGCATTTAATGTGATTTGTTTTCCTGGTTCTGGAGATGTTCCCGTCTTGCCAACAGAAATGTTTAACGGTCAAGGTTATTAATGGACAAGTAATTTCAGAACTGAACCACATGGCAGAAGGGGGGGAGGGGGAGGGGGGGTTGAAGATTGTGTCCAGAAATGTTTGAGCACACGGGGGGGGGGTTTATCTTTAT